GGTTTTTCAGTCGTAGTTTATTCAAATCAAGACGTACAGCTAAAAGACCGACAGTTTTGAGCAGCTTGCTTCAATTGCTATCGATCCCCATCTTTTAAGGAAGATTTATTTTTTGACAAATTTTTTCATTTTTTGTAAGGGGGTAGCTCGGTTTTTTTGGGATTCAGATTTTGGTCAAAAATACTCATTTTTTAGTGGTTTTTCAGTCGTAGTTTATTCAAATCAAGCGTACAGCTAAAAGACCGACAGTTTTGAGCAGCTTGCTTCAATTGCTATCGATCCCCATCTTTTAAGGAAGATTTATTTTTTGACAAATTTTTTCATTTTTTGTAAGGGGGTAGCTCGGTTTTTTTTTGGGATTCAGATTTTGGTCAAAAATACTCATTTTTTAGTGGTTTTTCAGTCGTAGTTTATTCAAATCAAGGCGTACAGCTAAAAGACCGACAGTTTTGAGCAGCTTGCTTCAATTGCTATCGATCCCCATCACTTTAAGGAAGATTTATTTTTTGACAAATTTTTTCATTTTTTGTAAGGGGGTAGCTCGGTTTTTTTTTGGGTTCAGATTTTGGTCAAAAATACTCATTTTTTAGTGGTTTTTCAGTCGTAGTTTATTCAAATCAAGGCGTACAGCTAAAAGACCGACAGTTTTGAGCAGCTTGCTTCAATTGCTATCGATCCCCATCACTTTAAGGAAGATTTATTTTTTGACAAATTTTTTCATTTTTTGTAAGGGGGTAGCTCGGTTTTTTTTTGGGTTCAGATTTTGGTCAAAAATACTCATTTTTTAGTGGTTTTTCAGTCGTAGTTTATTCAAATCAAGGCGTACAGCTAAAAGACCGACAGTTTTGAGCAGCTTGCTTCAATTGCTATCGATCCCCATCACTTTAAGGAAGATTTATTTTTTGACAAATTTTTTCATTTTTTGTAAGGGGGTAGCTCGGTTTTTTTTTGGGTTCAGATTTTGGTCAAAAATACTCATTTTTTAGTGGTTTTTCAGTCGTAGTTTATTCAAATCAAGGCGTACAGCTAAAAGACCGACAGTTTTGAGCAGCTTGCTTCAATTGCTATCGATCCCCATCTTTTAAGGAAGATTTATTTTTTGACAAATTTTTTCATTTTTTGTAAGGGGGTAGCTCGGTTTTTTTTGGGATTCAGATTTTGGTCAAAAATACTCATTTTTTAGTGGTTTTTCAGTCGTAGTTTATTCAAATCAAGGCGTACAGCTAAAAGACCGACAGTTTTGAGCAGCTTGCTTCAATTGCTATCGATCCCCATCACTTTAAGGAAGATTTATTTTTTGACAAATTTTTTAATTTTTTGTAAGGGGGTAGCTCGGTTTTTTTTGGGTTCAGATTTTGGTCAAAAATACTCATTTTTTAGTGGTTTTTCAGTCGTAGTTTATTCAAATCAAGGCGTACAGCTAAAAGACCGACAGTTTTGAGCAGCTTGCTTCAATTGCTATCGATCCCCATCTTTTAAGGAAGATTTATTTTTTGACAAATTTTTTCATTTTTTGTAAGGGGGTAGCTCGGTTTTTTTTGGGATTCAGATTTTGGTCAAAAATACTCATTTTTTAGTGGTTTTTCAGTCGTAGTTTATTCAAATCAAGGCGTACAGCTAAAAGACCGACAGTTTTGAGCAGCTTGCTTCAATTGCTATCGATCCCCATCACTTTAAGGAAGATTTATTTTTTGACAAATTTTTTATTTTTTGTAAGGGGGTAGCTCGGTTTTTTTTGGGATTCAGATTTTGGTCAAAAATACTCATTTTTTAGTGGTTTTTCAGTCGTAGTTTATTCAAATCAAGGCGTACAGCTAAAAGACCGACAGTTTTGAGCAGCTTGCTTCAATTGCTATCGATCCCCATCACTTTTAAGGAGAATTATTTTTTGCAATTTTTTCATTTTTTGTAAGGGGGTAGCTCGGTTTTTTTTGGGATTCAGATTTTGGTCAAAAATACTCATTTTTTAGTGGTTTTTCAGTCGTAGTTTATTCAAATCAAGGCGTACAGCTAAAAGACCGACAGTTTTGAGCAGCTTGCTTCAATTGCTATCGATCCCCATCACTTTAAGGAAGATTTATTTTTTGACAAATTTTTTCATTTTTTGTAAGGGGGTAGCTCGGTTTTTTTTGGGATTCAGATTTTGGTCAAAAATACTCATTTTTAGTGGTTTTTCAGTCGTAGTTTATTCAAATCAAGGCGTACAGCTAAAAGACCGACAGTTTTGAGCAGCTTGCTTCAATTGCTATCGATCCCCATCACTTTAAGGAAGATTTATTTTTTGACAAATTTTTTCATTTTTTGTAAGGGGGTAGCTCGGTTTTTTTTGGGTTCAGATTTTGTCAAAAATACTAATTTTTTAGTGGTTTTTCAGTCGTAGTTTATTGAAATCAAGGCATACAGCTAAAAGACCGACAGTTTTGAGCAGCTTGCTTCAATTGCTATCGATCCCCATCACTTTAAGGAAGATTTATTTTTTGACAAATTTTTTCATTTTTTGTAAGGGGTAGCTCGGTTTTTTTTTGGGTTCAGATTTTGGTCAAAAATACTAATTTTTTAGTGGTTTTTCAGTCGTAGTTTATTCAAATCAAGCGTACAGCTAAAAGACCGACAGTTTTGAGCAGCTTGCTTCAATTGCTATCGATCCCCATCTTTTAAGGAAGATTTATTTTTTGACAAATTTTTTCATTTTTTGTAAGGGGGTACCTCGGTTTTTTTTGGGATTCAGATTTTGGTCAAAAATACTCATTTTTTAGTGGTTTTTCAGTCGTAGTTTATTCAAATCAAGGCGTACAGCTAAAAGACCGACAGTTTTGAGCAGCTTGCTTCAATTGCTATCGATCCCTCTCACTTTTAAGGAGATTATTTTTTGCCAATTTTTTCATTTTTTGTAAGGGGGTAGCTCGGTTTTTTTTGGGATTCAGATTTTGGTCAAAAATACTCATTTTTTAGTGGTTTTTCAGTCGTAGTTTATTCAAATCAAGACGTACAGCTAAAAGACCGACAGTTTTGAGCAGCTTGCTTCAATTGCTATCGATCCCCATCTTTTAAGGAAGATTTATTTTTTGACAAATTTTTCATTTTTTGTAAGGGGGTAGCTCGGTTTTTTTTGGGATTCAGATTTTGGTCAAAAATACTCATTTTTTAGTGGTTTTTCAGTCGTAGTTTATTCAAATCAAGGCGTACAGCTAAAAGACCGACAGTTTTGAGCAGCTTGCTTCAATTGCTATCGATCCCCATCACTTTAAGGAAGATTTATTTTTTGACAAATTTTTTCATTTTTTGTAAGGGGGTAGCTCGGTTTTTTTTGGGTTCAGATTTTGGTCAAAAATACTCATTTTTTAGTGGTTTTTCAGTCGTAGTTTATTGAAATCAAGGCGTACAGCTAAAAGACCGACAGTTTTGAGCAGCTTGCTTCAATTGCTATCGATCCCCATCACTTTAAGGAAGATTTATTTTTTGACAAATTTTTTATTTTTTGTAAGGGGTAGCTCGGTTTTTTTTTGGGTTCAGATTTTGGTCAAAAATACTCATTTTTTAGTGGTTTTTCAGTCGTAGTTTATTCAAATCAAGACGTACAGCTAAAAGACCGACAGTTTTGAGCAGCTTGCTTCAATTGCTATCGATCCCCATCTTTTAAGGAAGATTTATTTTTTGACAAATTTTTTCATTTTTTGTAAGGGGGTAGCTCGGTTTTTTTTGGGATTCAGATTTTGGTCAAAAATACTCATTTTTTAGTGGTTTTTCAGTCGTAGTTTATTCAAATCAAGGCGTACAGCTAAAAGACCGACAGTTTTGAGCAGCTTGCTTCAATTGCTATCGATCCCCATCACTTTAAGGAAGATTTATTTTTTGACAAATTTTTTCATTTTTTGTAAGGGGTAGCTCGGTTTTTTTTGGGTTCAGATTTTGTTCAAAAATACTAATTTTTAGTGGTTTTTCAGTCGTAGTTTATTGAAATCAAGGCGTACAGCTAAAAGACCGACAGTTTTGAGCAGCTTGCTTCAATTGCTGTCGATCCCCATCACTTAAAGGAAGATTTATTTTTTGACAAATTTTTTCATTTTTTGTAAGGGGGTAGCTCGGTTATTTTTGGGATTCAGATTTTGGTCAAAAATACTCATTTTTTAGTGGTTTTTCAGTCGTAGTTTATTCAAATCAAGGCGTACAGCTAAAAGACCGACAGTTTTGAGCAGCTTGCTTCAATTGCTATCGATCCCCATCACTTTAAGGAAGATTTATTTTTTGACAAATTTTTTAATTTTTTGTAAGGGGGTAGCTCGGTTTTTTTTTGGGTTCAGATTTTGGTCAAAAATACTCATTTTTTAGTGGTTTTTCAGTCGTAGTTTATTCAAATCAAGGCGTACAGCTAAAAGACCGACAGTTTTGAGCAGCTTGCTTCAATTGCTATCGATCCCCATCACTTTAAGGAAGATTTATTTTTTGACAAATTTTTTCATTTTTTGTAAGGGGGTAGCTCGGTTTTTTTTGGGATTCAGATTTTGGTCAAAAATACTCATTTTTAGTTGTTTTTCAGTCGTAGTTTATTCAAATCAAGGCGTACAGCTAAAAGACCGACAGTTTTGAGCAGCTTGCTTCAATTGCTGTCGATCCCCATCACTTAAAGGAAGATTTATTTTTTGACAATTTTTTTCATTTTTTGTAAGGGGGTAGCTCGGTTATTTTTGGGATTCACATTTTGGTCAAAATACTCATTTTTTAGTGGTTTTTCAGTCGTAGTCAGTACAGCTAAAAGCTCGACAGTTTTGAGGAGCTTGCGACCTATGCTAACGATCCCCAACACTTTTAGAACAATTTATTTTTTGACCGTCTTAGGTCAAAATTCTAATTTTGTTACAGTTAGTAACAATAGATACATGTAAAAACTTAAAAGAATTAACGGCAGATGTGAAATGGGGGAACCCCAGTTTAAGCGTCCGAAGCGTTCTTATCGTTATCGATGGTAACTCAGTGTGCATATCGTATAATAGTCGTGAGACAGCACGATCCCATCTCCAATTGGAAGTATCTCATTTAAAACAAAACAAATCAAATTTGAAGTTTATGTGGATTGGCAACTGGTGTTCCTGGTTACAATGAGCTGCTTTGGTTGCGGTCGCAAGTATGGATTGTTCTGCAAAGAAGCAAGTGTCACATGGCATACATATATATGGATAGCAATGATAAAAACTAACTAAATATTCAATCCCAATAGTATGGATGCCCGAACTGCGGCTACTCATTCTGCTCCAAGTGCCTGAAGAGGCCGATGCCTGTGCCCCGTCACGCGGGAAAGGTGCTCAATGTGTGCCTGATATGCTACGACAAGCTGTCCAAACTGCAGGCCAGCGCCGATGCCGAAAAAGTCATCGATTGTGAGGCCTTGCCCGGAGTCTTAGTCACCAAATTCAGTCTGCCACCTCCGCCCAAGGGTGCAGAGGGTGTGGGTTCGGTTTCGGCTGCCGATGTGCTCTTTGAGTAAGTGAAACCCATAGCCCAGAGATCCTACTTCTAGCCCAAACCATTCCAGTGACTCCCCGCCCTCTGAGGAACTGCCAGAGGCTTTGGTTCCCAGTTCCAGTTCGGCTCTACATTCCAAAGATCATGAGGATCACATTGATGAGAACCTGGATAGTGCATTGACGAAACGGATACAGGACTACAAACGCGTTGATGCCACAGACGATGAGATCCGCGCCCGTCTCGCCAATCTGACCGGAATGCCTCATAAAACAAATTACGATAAGAAGGACTTGTTACTATCCACTGACCAAAGGAACGATCAGGAGAAAATGAGGGATTTGTTGGCACAGTTTGTGGAGGAAGCACAGTTGGACCAAAATGTGGACAGGCAGAGGGATGATTCAATTTCCGACATTGAGCGACGTTTGCGAGCTCTACGCGACACACCCGTCGATTCAGCAGGTGCAGGCCCATCGGGATCCCAGATAAGCAGTAACGTGGAAAACGAAGAGGACGACGAAACTCTTTTGCAAAATATAATGAAAAAGGTTCGTATGCACTCTCAGTTCGACTCTGACAAAAGCTATTTGTAAATGCTAATCATAATTTAATTACCATTCCAGTATGTGGAGGAATCGCGCTTACCAGCTGTTTCCCAGAATGAAATTAGCCCAATTAATAGTGAGGTGCCCAGCGGCACCGAAGAACTGCCCTGGTGCAACATTTGCAACGAGGATGCGGTTTTCCGTTGCCTCACCTGCGGTGGAGACCTCTTTTGCACTCAATGCTATAAGGAGTGTCACGATGATGATGAGGAATATCGAGCTCACGTTAAGGAGAAATATGCAGCGCCGCCAAAGATTGAAGAAAATCATTTCTAATGCAATTGTTAAGTTTACTTGGCTTTAAGAGATTTTGTTTTAATTATAAATTGTTTCCAAAAAAGAAAGCATTGTATTGCTAGCTCATTCATATCTATGCAAGGTATATTGTTCTCCTTTTTTTACTTATGAAGTGGAATAAAAACTGTGCACAGGTGCACAGATAGATTATTTTTGACAAATCAGGACTTTTAAATCAAGTGTATAAATATTTTTTTAAATCTATAAAATAGCAGGTACTTAGAAATACTCCTTATAAACGCCATTCCTTTTTATCTACTTTTTTAAGTATGTTACTAAATTTATAATCTTTCAAACCAATTGCCCCAACAGCTGTCAAATTTATAAACGTGTGATTTAATTTTTAACAAAGATGTAAACTAAACTTTGGTGCATTCAAACCATGTATCTAAGTAAATAATGTGCTTTTTTGTCCTTCAATGCTCCTCCTCCTCCTCCTCCTCAATATTGTAAAAGTGGGGCCATGTCTGTATCTCTTCGTACAACTGCCGGCCAGGGCTTTCCGTCGAATTGCACTGGCAGTGGCAAACGAGTCTATAGTCGGGTGATATGTGGCCATCCTCCACGCCGCGGGCCAACAGATTGCGGCACATGTTCAGTGCATCCGTCGTTGGAAGTTCTCGCATGAAGCACCCAACAAAACTGATCCCCAGCGCAATTTTGTTATAGCCCAGTGTGTGGGCACCCACAGTCTGCCAGCCGCGTCCCTCATAAATGTTGCCATCACAGCCGATCAAAAAGTTGTAGGCAATGTCGTTCCATCCTCGCGACTCTATGTGGAAGCACTAAAAATATATTTATTATTATTTATTTCAATAGTAAAATTGTAAAACTACTCACTTGAATATCACGGATAAGTCTTACGTTAATAGCGCGTTTTTCTGAGCTCTCGGTGGCAGTATGTACTACATATGGTAAGAAAAACGTTTTAGAAAGATTTATTAAATTAATAAGACGTGTAATGCTTTCTTTTCAAATTTATGCAGTCATCAACGCTTCATCTCACAAGATGTTATATGGGGGATCATTAGAGATCTTGAAAACTACTTTAAATTGTGTCTAAAAGTAGGCTACGAAATATTTTTCGTAATCAAAAGAAAGTATACAAATATATATGTATACCGGTTTTTTAAAAGGTTTAACTGAAGTTATTCATTTGGCGCCAACCTTTAAGAGCTTGTAAGATAGATGAATTTGTTGATTTTTCCTTCTTTTTTAGAAAGAGTTTTTAAATTGAGAGTGGCACAAAACTCACAGATGACCACATATTTAACGGGGAGTTGCAAGGGCTGGGGATCGTCCATGGGCTTCTGTGCCAGCCAGGAATGGCGCGGAATAATGCAGCACAGCTCTTTGGGTATTTTAAACTCTGCAAATGAGATTATCACCTTATCATCACCGTGTTGATAGGATAGCTCGCGGTATAAATAGCCTACTTTGACGCCTGATAAATACATCTGATCGCACCCTCTCCTCGGACTCGTCCTGATAGTCCTCATCGAAATGGGTCTCCGGTTTTGGAGCGGAATGCTTCGGGGGCGATCGGCGATCCCTATCTCTGCGGTGTGGGCTCAGGCCCTCGGCTATGATCTGTATATTTCCATTGATATTGGTCACATTGCCGATGTGGACGTTGGTGGAGTTGCTGATGTTAACGTTGCCCAAGGTCTGAATGCTGTTGATCGAGTTCATGAGATCCCTTATCGTATCGGTGATGATCGATTGTTTCTTCGTGGCTTCAGGATAATAAATATTATTAGTTAAGGAAAAATATATGGTCTAGTTCCACCCACCGATCTGAGTGCCTAGTGTCATGGTGCTGATATTCTGATCCGTATCATCCTCCTCCGTATAGTCATAGTCCAAACTGTCCACCACCGAGGACTCTGCTATCGATTCCAACTCCTCATCCTCGGTGGATGTGCTGACCTGGCTGGCCAACCATTCCCGAGTCCTCTCCTGACTCAGCTTCTTGATTCCCGATTCGGCCATATCCCTAGTTTTGGCACCTATTCTCCGCCAATAAATGCGCGTGTAACTCTCGCCTGGCCTTTATTTTGTTTATCAATATTGTGAGTTAGCAGTACTCTATAATACTCTGATTAGTGGTCTTCTCGTGTCCACCTCGCCCGATAAGATAAGGATGTTCCCAGAGGTTTTCCACCATTATATGCCTGGGTGTAGTGGTGAAATATGTTTTGTATTGGATATCAGACGGGCTGGGGTTTTTTTATTGCATATTTAGTCATAGGTATTAAATATTGTATTAGTATCGCGGATCACTCGCGATATCGATGTATCGATATATATGGAACTATCGATTGTCTCTAAATATTTCATTTTTATTTAGATTTTTTAGATTGTGCGTGCTATGATGCACAATCTAGCATCTAGCAACGTCTAGATCCGGAATTCTCAGTTTGTATTACCCCCAAAGTCCCAACAGTTTCCCAACAATAATATCGATAAGCCATCGCAGTCTCACTATGCGAACAAGAACTCACATCTCTAACAGCAAAATGTAAACAAAGACAAAAATGTAATATAGTTTATGGACTAAAACAGAATTCATTTATAATAAAATATTTATAATGATCTTTCAGCAGATAAAAATTTATTTTATACTAACAAAAATAAAACTGACAAAAGTCACAAATTATAGACTTTATTTTTTGTTAAATATTCCCCATGAAAATCATACGATTTTTTTTTAGATCATCCGGACCCGAATCTGTGTCTAGTTAAAATAGATATAACCAGTTTGATTCACCTGACAAGTCCACTGTAAGTTCAATGCACCCCATTCCTAACGAAAAAGAAGGTAGGAGCTTTTGCCAATATTGCGCGCGCGCTTTTGGCTCTTCAAAGTAAAATAGTTTACTGCAACACTGCACCGTGTTTGATAATAAACCCATGGTATATCAAGTGGAGTTGGGCTCGTGTCGCAGTTCCTACACGACGTGTTCGTGTTGGAAACTTTTTTTTTCGTGATTTGTGTATTGACGAAAAAAGCGATAGATTAATAATATGTGGCTAAAAAAATGTATCATTTATTTAACCACATTTTTTTTTATTGTTAGGGAACTTGAAAAATATTATTCAAAGTGTTATTGTCGTGGAGAACCAAAATGTAAACTTATAGAAAATGAAACCAGGAGTGAAGTTTGGTAGACCTTTAACTTGGTGGAGTGTGATTAAAACAGATTTCACTTTTTCTTGCTTTAATAACTTAAAGAAATTGTTTGGAAACTCTGGAAAAATTGGATATGGCGTCAACTTGATTAGACAGATTTTTTTATAAAAAAAATCCCACAAAAAGTTGTGGATGATCTCGCTCTCAAGCAATTTGGATTTGTTGGATTAAACTTAAAACTAATTAAAAAAATATTTCGTGCGTGTTCGTGTCGTTTCATATTGGAAAAGTATGACACGCGTTCAACTCTAGACTCAACCCATCTCGATTGGAGCACTCCTCGTGGTAGCTAGCTACCACAACTCTAGTCAAAACATCGTAAGTTAATTCATGCGCTGTAAACATCCACTCGACCACTCTCGCTTTTGCGCTGTTCTACCCTCTATGCCTCTTTTTTACAAAAAAAAGTCTTATCTCCAGTTTAATTTTATTACAAGTAAGACTTAGTATTCTAGCTTATGTATTTTGGTATTTTCTGAAACAGTTTTCAAGTTTTGAAAAATCAAACTTAAAAACTACTATAGAAAGATGCAATTTTGATATTTTTAAGGTATCAAAAACTATTTTTATAAAAACTCGTTTTGTTTTCTTGTTTGTAGAATGTTTTTAAAAGATATGTGATTTAAAGAAAAGGTATACTAAAATAAGTTCTTCAGAGAAGTTCCTTGTTTTCTAACGTTTATTTATGATAGTAAAACATCGGAAATGTAAAATCCAAAAGGTATACAATAAGTTCCATACAATAAAAATCAGTCAGAAAAACTGGAGAAAACATCCCGCCAAAAGTATCGCCCGATAAAATATACTAAAAGAAGTTGACTCAGGGAGTTCTCCGTTCCGTTGAAGATTCGATAAAAAATGGTCACACGCGCATCCAGCAATCTGTTGGATGTACCCCCCTCCCCATTTCTGGGGTGCTGTGCCTAACGTAAGGGGAGGGGGGTTGGGTTGGGGTTATGTTTTCTCAGTTCCGCTCTCCGCTCTCTTTCGCTTTTCTGCTGTTTTGCTCAGTTCAATTCGGTCGGGTTTATCGGTCGAATGCGAATGCTCAATGAGAAGAGCTTTTACTGTTTTACTTTTTGCCTGAAATACATTTTGAGATATTTTCTTATTGGTAGTTCTGTTTATGCCATCGTTTGCGTCTGTGTTATTTGCTAGATTGCGAGAGCTAGTTAACATTAGTTAAAATTAAAACAAACGAAAAGCAACAGCGGCAGCCAGAGATATAATAGAATTGCGGTTTTCTTTCTGACTGAATTTCCATCTGAATCTCAGAGCCCATCCATACCATTCGTCGTTATCCGTCGGATATGTTGCTTTATCGCTGGTGTACTACAAGTCCAAACAGAAACCGTGCCCGTGGTGCCGGTAAAAATAAGCGCAAAGTTTAAGAAAATCATCAGATTCAGATGTGTACATTTGTCTCTAAATGACAAATTGCGTATAAATAGCCTGGAAATCGCCATCGCCTGGTATTCCCAATGGGTTAGCGATTGTTTTACGGGTATTACGGGTATTCCGTTTCCAAAGCGTGTTGGGTAAACAAAGTTTTAGTTTAATTAGCTTCGCATAAGCTGCTGCAACCGGATCTGAAACAGACCGTGGAAAAGAAAATAATAATAATAGCATTTCTCGTGTTTGCCAGTGTAAATTTGCGTTCGTGTGTGCAGGTTATACAGAGTGCATGGTAGTCTAGTATCCGTATCCCTATCCCAATCCCTTTATCCCCTATCCTATCCGATTCGCGCCGTTATTGTTAATGCGCAGGTAATTCGGAGCGCTTTTCGGCCACTCCACTCCACAGTATTTTGTTCTACATCGTTTTTTTGCGAGTGTGTTTTTTTTTTCATATTTGTTGTGTTGTGTTTTGTAGTGTTGTGTTGTGTTGTGTAGTGCTGTGTTGTGCATTTATTTGACAGCTTATGAATCACCGCAGAGATTCATTTGCGCTGATTGCGGCACAACTGTTGCACCCACTTTCAAAAAAACACCTCTCCACACATCGTCTTCGGGAAAACTACTCAAGCGAGTGGAAAAAAATAAACAAATAATACCTAACCTATCGAGCACATTGTTTCCTATACATATATATGTATTTTATTATTATTTCTTTTTTTTTGCAGTGCATTTATTGAAACAATATTATAAACCTATTATAATGCACAGAAAATAGATATAACTAGATATGGCCAAGACTCGGCGAGTTCGTTTGTCCGTAAGCGTAAACCTAGCTCCCCTTACTACTGTGTAAATACCAGAAAACCAATCCAAAAAGAATACAATACAAAGAAAAACGCATAATGTACTTATTCAGAAGTGGATTCAAATTGCAGTAATGACAAACCGTGAAATAATAAAAATAAGCAGCGTTGTCAACATTCGAAAGTGCACAGATGATTCGCCTTCGACGCCAGTAAGCAGTCCAAACAAAACAATACAAAAACATAAATAAACAAATAAAGTAAATGCAAATTAAAACCATACCAAAAAACGGGGCTTATGACACAATACCGCAATGGTCATGTAACTCGTTCCAAAGATATCGATAACGCGAAAGATCCGTCGTCGCGTCGTCCTAATCGATCGATAAAAATGGATCGCCTTTTTCTGAGAAACTTCCGCAGCTTTGCTCTTTTCTATCTCAGCAAAGTCCAAGTAAGAAGTCCACCAAAGAAGGTGCGGTGAATGTGAATACTTAATCAGCGATCGGCAATCAATCAATAAATAACTCCGAGTTCGGGTTTCAACCGCTCATCAAATTTGAGAACAGCAACAGCAGCTACTACCCAATAATCCTGGACCCCCACACCAATGCGATATGGATTGTGATTACTCCAAGTTTTTGTACAAAAGTAAGTTTCCAAATTGTATTTACACATGTCTGTTCATTTGCCGCCGGCAACTGTCGCGAACATGTTTTACAAATATTAGGTTAAAATTAATTAAGCAGAGTGGCAATGTGTTTCGGAAATCCTTTACAGGGTGGGCCCCAATTGATATTTTATATTTTATACCTTTCCATATTTAAATTAGTGGTCTTCCATCGAAGCACCTGCTTGAAGTTTATTTAATAATGATATTGATTCTATGTGATGTTATATCTTTCATGGATGATGATGCTTTATGTTCCAAGAAAATTGGCATCGCGAAAAATCAAATTTAGAATACAATTAATACATTTTGAAACTTTCAAATACCACAAAAATATTTAAATATGGAACACTGAGATTGATTGTTGGTTCTTGCGCTGTGAAGTTGGTTTTCGTGAGGCTCTAAGAAAAGTTTGATTATTTGTAAGATCAGGAAAAATCGTAACGGGATTCATACCCAATAGCCGGAAAAATAACGATCACGATCGAAAAGCAACTCTGAATGGAATATTAAAGGATACTTAAGGAACGGAAAACTTTGTTACAAGTTAATCAGGTTCTGTGAACCTTTCTTTCTTTTTTTTGAAACTTCATCTAAACTAATTCACGTTTCTCACGTTGTGGCAATGTAGCAATATAAGCACAAAACCACAGGACCACAAATTTATTCATCCTGGATGCGAAGTAGATCGTCTCGAAAGGTAACATTTCAATATTACGGACGTACAAAGTACACAGCGAGGATCCAAAGCAGCTTAATTTCCAAAATTATTTTTTTTAAATGCGATTTTATTTTTCGAAATCAGTATATTTTGTGACGTTCAAAATTAATGCTAACTGTGTCTAAACAGTTTTGAATTTCAGTTTTATATGAAGATATGGCACCATGATTTGGCCGAATCAATCCTGTCCGTATATCTGTCCGTTAATTTTAAAGCCAAAATCTCAGGATCTAGCTTCACAATATTCTTCTCACAGCACCCATTTTGTATCATTAGTTGTATTTATCCGATCGAAAAACGTTTCAGTAGCAATGGGTATCGCTTTATTTCTAAATAAAACCCCCAAGTTAAAATGAACTTGTTGCAGATAACGACGGCGATAGTCTGGTTTTATCAACATTGTGGCCACATTTTTCCATAGAGGTATTTTCAGTTTCGAAAAATTCCTCGAGACACTGTGCGTTTTCTTACTTCCTCTTCCATAGAAAGTTCGGGGATTCGGCTTCCCTTGAAAACTACAAACGCAGACGGAAAGAAGCGCAGCACGGCAGCGTCGGCAACGTCAAAGCGACAGAAGCAGCAGCAACTTGAAAAAAAGGATTCTTCCCATCAGAAGTTGGTTCTTTTGCACAAGATAAAAATATTTTTTAATGTTCCCTGAACACAAACAAAAATTTAAGGAATGTCACGTTGTAGTCCCGTCTCACTCTTATGTGCGCTCCATGTATGCATTGCGCATTTATTTTGGTTCCCGGTCCGTCGATTCTTCTCTGCTGTTGCCGTTCCTGTTGTATCTCGTATCTTCGTTGGTATGAGACAAAGAATTTCTTTTACACAGACAAATGGTTTGCTAACTTGGACCAGAGATCTGCTTCAAACTTACAAATATAATTAAATACAACCAATATATGCACGTACAAAAGTACAATATAAAGCAAAAGTTTTGAAATAATTCGTCAAAAGGATAAACAAGTTTGTTTGATGAACAAGAAATGAATAGTAAAATGGTTTTAGTGTGACCGAATTTTATAAAGTTCATCCGAAGCCCTTACAGAAAGATTTAAAAATGAATTGCTTCATTTGACAAACAAATTATAAATTGTAAAATGATTTATTATATACGTATTCTTTTAAAGATTATTTTTCTCAGTGGCCATGAAATATCCCCTGGAAAATTCCCCCATTATTTGTTCTTCATCGCCACTGGAAAAAATATCTCCAGTCAAACTTCAAATGACACATAGAAAGCTTTAAATTGGCTCCCGTTTTAGAAACTATTTTTAATTTACTTTTCTTAATAAGAAATATTCAATTCAGTTTAATTCCATTAAAAAGAAAAAGTTTAGTTAGGGACACAGTGTACAAATGTGGAGAAGTTAGTACATTTTTCAATGACGTACCACTGAGTTATGTGGTATTTAACGGTTTATATTGTTTATATGGAAAAGTAAATCGTGTACAATTGCAAAATGATCGTTTTGTCATGTCTGCGGAACGTGACACCTGCCGTGTTCTAAAACTAAACTGTATCGGAAGGTAGTTCGAATTCGGCAATACACCTACGATATCAACGGTATACTTAGGCTGTACACCCATTAAAATGTATTTATTAAGCTTAAAGGTGACTCTTAGAAAACCATTGCCAACCCAAATGAACCCCGCCCTATATGAGCAGTTGACAAATGGTGCTAACAATATAAAATTAAACACTTTTATATTTTAACCTCCACTTTATATAAACAATTTTAAGCTGCCTAGTTTTTGTTTTGAACAGGCATTTGAAAATAATGTATCATAATAGGTTTAAAGATCTATAAGCCAAAATGGAGAACATTCTAATAAGATTATATGAATTGTCTTGCCGGACTCGTTGGAAAAATATTAAAAATATTATACACCAGATTATTGCATTTTCCGAATTGAAATTGATATACGTTTATGGACTGGATCATCCTCTCAAGCCGGGTGTCGTTAGCATTTTTCACAAGAAGTTTAGCATATGGGCTGGCAGTTTATCATGGCTGTTGAACAATATCCAGGAAATTGAACGCACTTTAAAAAGAAATCGGAAACGCCCTGGGTGGAAATATAAATAAACAATATTTGGATTTCGGTTTAAAGTATTTTTTTAGTGGATCAACAGGCCAACTTACCCGGCAGCTATTACTACATTGAGAAAAAATGTATGTCCACATGTAGAAAAATGCACCAACTAGGGCCACACAAAACGAAAAAAGCATAATTACGAGCCAAAAGACAAACCACAATGGGTTCCCCATTAAATAATTATGACGTATGTAAATGGTAATGAGTGAAAATTTTCTCGCTATCCTGTCGCCAGTGGGGGTAGTTGCAAAATAAATGTGGTGTTGGAATAATAACCAGATGACAATACAAACAAAGAAAACTCAACATGAAATCAAGAATTATGAAGCCTTTTTGTAAACCATTAAATTATTTAAGAAGTAAGTTGAAGAATATAATTAATTTAAAAGTATATGACAATAATAAGGATCTTTTGGCCTATTAAGGTACGTCACGCTAGTACATGTTGGGAATTATAAGTGCACAAGTGGGAGAAAATGTCAATTCCAATGTATATAGTAAATTTAATGTTAGTACCACAAATTGTGTGGTTAGTTCTACCACCAATATAGTAAATCTACTGCAAAAGCAGATAGATTCAACCAATGAACATGTTTTTTGATCAGTTATAGGTGCTTTTGAAGCACTTCTATTGTAGTAGGTCGTGGCGGTCAATTCGAAAGTTTCATTCAACTCATAACTATTTCGACACGAAACCACACAAAAAGTCTTTGATTTGATTAGATTTGATCCCATCCCAAAATGAGCTACAAACTCGGATACGATGTGACCGATCCCACGGTCCAGGTGCTCCGGGCATCGGCCTTCATGCAAAACGGGCCGGTGAAACAGGTGCGCAGCTTCGAGGATCTGGACCGCTGGGCTCGCTCGCAGGCCTATCACGATACTATTGCCTATATCAATCACACCAGCAGGGCCATCCAGGGCCATCGATTGACGCGGGACTTGGACTTCCCGGTATCGACGCAAATGCGCCGTCTGTGCGAGATCTTTGATGGCCTGGAGCACCTGCTGGTCGAGCATTCGCCGAAGGCCGACGACTCGAACATATCCGTTCCGGCCGGCCATGTGAGGATACGATCCTACCGCATTTGGATGGAGCACATGTTTCAGCTTGTCTTCAGCAAACTGGACGAGGCCATCAAGGCGAACTGCAAGCACATCAACGAACTGGGCCAATATCTTCGACGTTCCTTTGGCAATTCTTCCAGTCTGGATATTGGTCCCGCCAACGAGCTCATGTTCCTCTTCTTCCTCTGCGGCCTCTTCCGCTCCGGCATCCTTGAGGCCCAGGACACGGTTGCCGCCGCCCTGCTGCTCTTCGATCGCTATACACACCTGGTGCGCCGCGTCATCTCAACCTATTCCCTGCAGATAACCAAGGATCCCATGTGCTCCATCGATGACTACTGCTTTCTGCCCTATCTCTGGGGAGCTGCCCAGCTCTCGATCGACAGTCCCTTCTCGCCGATGCAGTGCGACCAGGCCAAAGTGTTGGATTGCCACAGGCATGACTACATGATGCTGGATCTGGTGGATCACCTGCAGAAGTCGCGCGGTGGCCAGTTGAGCCAGGTGGCCTTTCAGCTGTGGAGCCTGCTCTCGGTGCCCACCTGGCCGCAGGTCTACCGGGGACTCGAGAGGAACTACATTGACAATGTGCTCTCCTCGTTCGAAACCGTGGAGCAGGTCATATTTTGCGAACTGATGTCCTTTGAGGCCACCACGGTGCCCAGGCAGTTGGAGCGGGCATATTTGGGAGCCCAGTACGTCGAGCGTCGGCAGAACGAGGAAGATTTGGAGCAGGCGCAAGGAACACAACGCTCGCCATGTCTGTGGGAGCCATCGCTGCCGGTCAGTAGATATGTCAGCATGGAACCGGAGTCCTTCCTCGGATTTCAGGAACCAAGAGGACATCGGATGTCGGACGACAGCGATGACGATCGCCTCTGGATGATGCGACAGGCTATGGATGAGGACGGGGCCAGCCCCATGTTCTTCCCGGATCGGACAGCTACCCAAAATGACTCTGTCACTTCGTTCCCCCAATAGTGGTCCCTAAAATGTCAATCCAATTAATGCATATAAACTTGTAAGGATGGAAACGGAACACCAGTAGTGCGATCATTTTTTAGCAGATATTTTTATACAGAAGGATATATATCTTACACTAATCTAACTAGCTCAAATATGTTAAATAGTATGTTCCCAATAGGGCCCTAACATTTTGTTTGCTGCTATTTGTACAAAAGGAAAATATCTTTTGTAACTTACCTTGGAAGCAAAAACGACGTATAATTGAGTATTCTTGCAAAGTTCTCCTCTTTAGAACTTCGTTTTTTCACTTTACTATAACGTATTTCTCTGAATAATGTATTACTTCACTTAAGAAAATCTGGTGAAAATTTGGTACTGAAACATAAAAAACTCTTTTTCAAGCTTATCTATTTGCTATATCTTATTGAACCGAGCGGAATGGAACATGCACATTTTTGGCACGATAAACTTACGATATTCTCACATCTCTGCGAAATGATCTGGATTTTTGAAAGCTGTGAAACTGCATATACTGGCAGTTTAGTAATTGAATAAATTTTCAATTGATTATTTGTTTTTTTAATAAAGGGAAAGATAATTTCTCATAACCCCTAATTTCAAAGCGTCTTCTCACATCCGCTTAAAAGCGCAACAGCAGCAATTTTGTTTCGCATCGTTTACACAGCCGCCGCTGTTGTGAACACATAAAACACGTGCTTCTCCTTAGAGAAGCTTAAAAGAATAATCATTTATATTAGTTTAAAAATAAAGTGTTTTTTTCTGCTTTTTGCGAATTTAGTATTGCCACTGTATTATAGAACCAGTAGCGTTTTGCATATTGACACGTTTCTATTACTATTTTAAAATACAAAATTGGCAAATTATTGTTCAACAATTCGATACCTTATATGGCATAAACAAATGCTAGTTTCTTTAAAAATGTTAGGGCGCTAAGTTTGTGATAAAAAATGGCGGGCTAAATGCCCAGATCGCTAATAGATATTGTTAAACGCGAACCACCTTCTGCCACCAACGAAAAGATCGAGTTCTGAGAGACTTCAAGATAAAGACTACATTTCACGTGCATTTGTATTCTCTGTTCTATTGCCAATAAAACTAGTTTGACTTAAAGCGACTTCGGAGTTGTGGGAGATCGGCTGTTTTATCAGGAAATAGTGGGCTTTTCGCGATCCCCAACGGAAGCGTGCCTCTTTCATTTTGTTAGCTAAGGTCAGAGAGCTGGGGAGTGATAAAGGACAGGACTTCCGTTGCGAAATTCGGGCCAGAGTTATAACACCCTATGCTAAAGGGTTACAAAGTGAGCGAAATCGAAATCGTGCGCTAAGGCGCCAGCGGCATAAAGCTCGTCGACTATTAGTCACACCCGTCGGTGAATATACATATATATATATAGAGAGAGAGAGAGAGGGAGAGGGAGAGAGAGCAGAGAGTCGTACTCTCTTCTGCTCTCTTCTAGCCCCACAATTTCAGTTGTGTGTGTGGTTTAAGCAGTGCACTTGTGATGGTGATATAGTGCTGTTTCTGGGTTTGATCGGGTTGTATTCTGCGTCTGTGTTTGGTCGTGTAGTCATCGGTTGTGTTAGGAAACTGAACACTGAAACTAAACAACCAGATCCACCAGTTATGCTGGCAGAGCAGAGGCAGAGGCAGAAGCAGAGCCAGAAGCAGAGAATGAGCTGAAATGAGTCCGAGAGTTGAGGCTGAGTTGTGTGTTAGCCAGGCCAAGCCAACAACCGAACGGCCCAAAGCCAGGGAAACAACAAAAAAGAAACAATCCCAACCGTCCCAGTCCAACAACAATCCCATATCCCCGTCCAACAACCAGACCCGACCAGCTAGCCTATAGTGTGTTATCGACGCTGACGTCGGCGTCGTTCTTTGTATTGATTCGAATTTGGATTCAGTCGATGAGTTTCTCTCGCTTCTGCGCGTTGCGTTTTTCGCAGTGTTTCCGCGATTTTTCGTTGTCGTCATCGTTGTTTCGTTTCGTTTCGTATCGTTGTTGTGTGTGGTGTATAGTGCGCCGCCTCCTCTCATTTCAGCCCCCTTTTTCGTACAGCCGTGAGCGGCTGTAAAAGTGTGCGTGGGTTTTAAGATTATTAAATACATTTTCCTTTTGCAAAATTATTTTTCCTTTTTTTTTTTAAATTTTGTTCTGTTCCCATGCGTTTTGTGTTTATTATATCTGTGTAGAAAGATTTTTAGAAAATTTGTTTTAATATGTGGCCACATTTTGATTCACCTTCTCTCTCTCTCTCGCTTCCTCTCTATCTCTCTCGCTGGTCTTTTTTGTTTTATCTTTTTCTTATACGATACGTATCTTATAAACAGTAGGCGTGTGGGGAGGGCATCGTAAGATATGGATGTGTGTGGCTCTTAAGCAAATTATCCTATGCCTCTAGGTGCCCCAAAAACGAATAAACCAAAAAAAAAGATCTCAAATCTGAAATCAGGCATTTGAAAAAGAATTTCATAAAAATATATATCTAAATACAGAAATACAGATGTACATGTGCGTGTGCTTTTGCACACTCACAGTCGCATAAATACATATGCACACAATTAGAACTGCACTTGTGCAGAAAAACAGACTATTTGGTTAAGCAGACGGGGAGAATACATATGGACATCATAATTATCATCATAATCGGCAATCGTCATCGCCCAAAAGCCCCCCATCTCAATTACGAACGGACTGGGGCTGGCCATTAACTAACGTTAGAGTTGATGTGGAAATGTAGAAATGTAGAAATGTAGAAAAGCGACAAACCAAACCTATCCAATAGTTAGCGGTGGCCATTCTTCTTTCTTCACTTCATCTTATTGCCGCAGCTGCGCCTTATTTCCACTGAAAGGCTTACTGACACATTCTCACTTTCACAAAGACCACGATATTGTACAAAGCTGCTCATACTCTTTTCCCACTACTAAATACACAGTTATACATCTATATGTATATATCTAAAGAGAGAGAGAGAGAGACAGAGAGGGAGCGACGCAGAGAGGGAGAGTGGGAGTGTTTGAGAGAATGAGAATGGGGAGAATGAGAACGAAAACGAGAAGAGAGAGAAACAGGCGAACAAGTAAAAAGATGTTGCCTGTGCCTGAAAAAGATCTTTCTCACTTCCTCAACTCAAGAACTCCGATTCATGAATTATTGCAGATGTAAGTAAGTATTGTGAATATGCATGTGTGTATACTAAACACGTAGAATCGAAATTTGATTCGATACGAGTCGAGTACGAGTACGAGTACGAGAAAAAGTAAAGTAGTGCAAAAACAAGTATCGAATAAGCCACATAATCCAAAGCGAAAGGGTTTTTTTTTCCAGTCCCATCCAGAAGTCCCGTCCCAGACGCTAGCCCACTGCGCTAGCCTGCTACTAAGTATAACTAAACTGTATAGTATAATAAAATTAAAAAAAAAAAAGTAAAAACAACGCTCCATCGCGTTATCAACGGACATAGATAATAACACACCCAATAAAAAGTCTGAAAAAAAAACAAAAAAAAAACAGTTACTGTTACAAGCGAATATAATAATAATAAGAGTGAGTGCCTTTGACCAGCCGAGACGACGACGGTACGGTTCTTGATGGTGACATCAGAGTCTAAATCTAGCGCGAACAGATTTTAATTCCGTGAACTAGTAGACGACGCACCGCACTCGTTTACGTACCTCCAATACTCGTATACCCGTATACCCGTGACATCGGCAAGAAACCTGGCTGCATGAAAAACATCACCAGCTCGAGCACTTGCAGCACTGGGCTGCTGCAATTGCAGAACAACCTGAGCTGCACTGAGTTGGAGGTTGCGGAGAAGGCAGAACAACAGGCAGGTCCGTTGCACATTCGAATACCCCACATCCCCCTAACTCATCCATACTAAACTTAAGACCAAACCAAGCCCCCTTCCCCAGAAGATTTGATCTCTGATTCTTCTTTCTTTTCTTTTTTTTTTTTTTTTGGTGACTTTCCTCATGAGTGTTCTCTCTTTTTTATGAGAAAGTCACCAAAAAACAGAGACCAGAACTGCAGGGCCTCCACACTCTCTACCATCCAATGTACATATCATACACATACATACATAAGTCTAACCGATCTAAAGACGAGAAGAGAAGCCAACTTTCGATTGCCCAGATGAATAATTCAATGGAATAGTCAGGTTTAAGATAATATTGTCACCCCTCACTGATTCGACGGATCTGCGGATGAGATATGTATACATGGCTCAAATTATTTTGCAAGCCGAGCGGATTTCGAAAAGAGCTTTTTTCATACCATTGCATAATAATATTTCTGGTCAGAAGCTTGTAATGCAGTGTGGGAGAGATTTCCGACCACAAAATTATACATGTGTGCATATTCTTGATCTGAATCGTTTTGCGAAATATGTAGACCGGTCTACCGATCTTTTATTTTTGGATTTATCCATTTTTATTTCATTTTTAAACCTACAGGTTCAATTGGTCAATAAAAGGTTCATATTCTTCTATATTGTCTTGATGTTTCTAGTAAAAATTATTGGATGATCGTCAGATTTTAGTCAGTTTGAAGTACTTCGAATGGAAATTCGACTATTATATTTTTATTCTACTCTTTCTTTAAAGAACGATCAGTAACGCAAGCCCCATATTTTCATTATATTTTTGTTTAATGGAAATAGGTTTTTAGCAAGTGCATCAGCACGCTAAATAGCTATTAGGTTTATTTTATAAATATTTACAAAGCTATGGCGCGTTCAATTATATCGTAAGAACCACACGTGCTTTTCTTCAGATAGCAAAACTACTACAAAACAATGACATAAAACTATAAAGGAAGCTAATTTAGACAGGCCAAAATTTCTATACCCTTGAAGTTATACCGAAAATTTATTAGTCATTTAGTTATTTGACCAGTTGCTAACACAACTAGCTTACAGACGTCTACAAAATGACTATCTCATGAGTCATGGGCATACATATGTACATACGAATATCTTTAAAAACAACGAAAGCATATCCGATTTTGATAAAGTTTATCATAATTATTCCGAAACAAAAAGTTGGAGCTCTTAATGCCGGATATAGTTGACCGATCCTGAGTAATGTGCATATCGCAGTAGAAAGATGATTGTTGTGATAGTGTTTTTTAGACAGCTTTAAAGCTGGGAAATTAAAAAATTAAGCATTCCTTGCCCGGTGATGCTGATCATGAATATATATATTTATAGGGTCGAAAAGTCTACTTTCATTCCTTTCTGAAGGTAATTTTAACACCCTTTGAAACTTAGGCTAATTTTAAATTAAAAACTTCCCGCTTTTAAGGAAAAACATGCAATTTAAAATTACAAAAATAAGAATATATTGTTAACGGCAAAGTACTATATTTTTAATTAAAAAGCTTCGTATACGCAAGTAAAAATCTTCATCCCATAAAGTTTGTAGCCTGTTCCTGCTGTCCCTGACCTATATTGACATCATAAAATCTATTTGCTGCAATACACATAATAATATTTCTATCATATACCATGTTGTTTCAGAATCATTATTGCTTTGACAAATGCAAAATTAAGAAAATGCTTTCAAAATGTATGTTTATTTTAGGGTGGGATTACTACTTTGAATATGTTCTATTTTAACCTTTACCAGGTTGCAAATTCGTTTGTCCTGACCTCAGAAGACTTTGGGCAGGAGGAAGGAGGGCGCATTTTAAGGGTTGACATGACAAACAGGAAGCTAACTAAGGCGTACCGAAGTTTACATACCCTAGCTTATTTAGAAAAATCTAGTAGTTTGTAGATGGAGCCAGATTTTTATCAACTTTTGTATTACAAAAATTATACAAAACGTTTAATTTTTATCTGATTGATCAATTAATGTTCTGATCGTCCCTATGAAAACTTAAAGAGCTGGTAGTAGGAATTTGACTTAAAATAATAACTGGAATAAAAAAATACTATTGTGCACGTTTTTACGATTTGTATTTATATTTGTTGAATAAAATATACACTTTGAAGAGTTCAAATGTCTAATTCACTAGGAAAAATAAATAAAAGTAATACTTCTGAGTATGTATTAATTGAATTGATCATTATAATCTTTTTCGCATATGGATATGATCAAGTATCAAAATGATATGATATTATTCACATGCACAAAGGACAGTGCAAAAATCAAATTGACCTGACAGTATCTGGGTTCGAGAGGTTTTCCCCTCTATCTGTGCACATATTACGGATCCTAACTCTGATCCTGAGTGGGCTAAGTACGTCATCATATAGCTCCTTACCGTCCCATCGAGGCACTGGCAT